CGGGCGTCTTCAGCTGCACACAAATGACTGTTTCTGAACCCTTATGTTATTGTAAGGTTTGTGTAGAGGCCATAACTAATGGTGCGTAAGATTTGAGAAGACAATGTGTTATGGCAGGTAAAGGAACGTAGAACTGCTACAGGAACTGTGAAAAGGGGGGATGGTGAAGAATGCTTCGGGAAAGCACTGCAAATGCCAATTTCACTGTCTTTGTTCATGGCACTAAAAATCATCGTCTAGTGTCAGGAATGAGTTGGAGGCTGTGTCCTGGCCAGTTCCAGTGCAGAGCAAGCAGAGAAACTCTGAAGTACTTAATAATCTCTTCTGCCTCCTCTCACTCCAGGAGAACAGCTATGTCCCAAGCAGATGGCTCACGTGCAGGCGAGCACCTTCCCTAGAGCACACACAGAAGCAGTTTATTAGGGAAGAATTTGTGATGAGAAATCTCATCTGAGAGGCAATGGAACTCTTTGTGGGCTTTGCATCCTTCCAGCGTAGTTCTTAATGTTGGAAGCTTGGTTTTGTTCAAGTCTTTGTTGGAGCACATGAAGGGAGGTGCCATGCTCCCCCAGGACACCTCTGACTTGCTCTTACCTGGAATGTCTGGACCTGCAAGGGATGGTGCTGGCGCAGACAGCAACGCTGCTAAGATGACTTGAGGTCTAGCAATCTTGTCTTTGTTGTGCCTACTTCTGTGTCAGAGCAGAGTGAAACCTGACAGCTAAATATCCAATATTTAGTGCTATAGGAAGCATTTCTTCATTATACTTTTTGTTTTCACTCACTTTAGTACCAATCTGATGAACATGTCTATGGAGAAAGGGATTAAAGCCCAGGAGAAAATATCTTAAGAGGAATCCCAGCAGAGAACAATTCCCTCTGGCCATCCTACCTCTCCTAAACATGGGGTAGCCAGCACAGGGGCTGTGTCCCTGCAAACCTGTGTTATTTTAGTACTTCAAATGAGATTGATTGTTTCTCCATTGCTGGCTTCTCACTGCAGCTCTGTTACCTGTTGCGAGTCTTCTCAGCAACAAAAAAGCTGGGGCTCTTTTCCTATCCTGACCTCCATACAAAGTGACCTAGAGAGGGTTTGAAGTATGCTGTGGGCATTGCTGTTTGGATAATACAAAAGCCAGGCTGCAAATTCCAGGCCTAGCCAGGTTCCCTGTGCTCCACTGTCCTTCAGACCTCTTTGCAGAGCGACCCTTCTCCCTGCTTCACCACTACATATTAGAGCACTGCTAATGAGCTGCCCCTGTGCCAGTGAGCCAGCAACGTTCTGCCACCTGCTAAAAAGGTGACTTGGAAGGAGAATTTGGTCCCTCCCTTGCTGCCTGTGTCAGCCTGAATGGTGGGCTCAGCTGGTGAAAAATCTGTTTTACTTCAAGTAATTTTTCTTCCACAGACCTGTCTGCTCTCTCTCAAGGCTGCTGTTGAAAAGAGCACATTTTATGGTGTGGTCTCTGCCTGTAACACGTAATAGCTGCCATGGTTTAAGATGCTTCAGCTCTGCCAGTTTTTGGCATGCTGTGTCTCTCCAATGCTGTCCACAATCCAGCTGGACAGCTGCCCAGTGGAAGGAAGCATGCTGCTTTATCATAGCTGGGGCACAACCTCTGGTCTCTCTGGCTCTCTACACCCCATTTGTCTTTGTCTCCAGGAACTGTTTGAGTTTCTGGCTTTGCAGAGGCAGTGGTTACAGGAGTTGTTCCAGTAGGATCAGGATAGAGGTTCCCAAAGCAGACGGGACATTTGGTGCAGTTAAGACAGCAGCACCCATGGCTGCTGTGCCTTCGGGGAGGTGGGGTTCCTGCTTATCTGCAGCAGAGGACTGGGAAAATGCTGTTAGCTGAGGGGCCAGTGGGCCTAAGGCAGGAAGCTGAGCATGGGGGCTGCCCACTGCCTGGGCCTGCACTGCTGCAAGCGCGGCAGGGAAAAGCAGCTCCGACCTCTTGCCCACGGCTGCAGCATCTGTTGTCATAGCAACAACGGCATGTCACACCTGCAGAGCCCTGTTATGGGTCTGCTAGGATTTTTTGAATCATTGGTGAGGCATATAACCCCCAGTCGTGCTGGGAGGGGGATGGTCTGCGTTAACCATTCCGTCAGGCATGAGGTGGGAGACACGGGAGTGACACAATTTAAAGCAGATGGGATTTTACACCAAAAGCATATTGTGTGTTGTAGCCTCGTGAGACAAGAAACAAAGACCCATTCATCTCCACACGAGGGCAAAGCACAGCCATCTGGATTCCTCCTCCAAACCGGTGCTGAAAAGCAGTGCGTGTGGCACCACCAGCCCCACTGTTGGCACCAGCCACCCAGGCTTTGCCAAGATGACCCCCTCTCTGCTCCATCTCTATAAGGCACAGGGAGCACAGCTCAACCCTCTGCTGGGTGTTGCTCATCTTTTAGCTAAAGATTTATGGCTGTTTATGAAGCGTACAGTAGTTGAACCACCTGAGGATGGGCCCAGAGCCAAATTGTTATCTTTAACGCTGCTATTTTGAGTGTGAGTTTTCATCAGCAGCTGTCAGCTGCATAAGCATGTCCTTTTCCCGTTTCAGATTCTCTACAATAGCCAGAGTGTGGAGGTGGATGGCCACTCGATGAAGAAGCTCATAAGTGACCTCCAACCAGACACAGACTATTCTTTTGTGTTAATGAACCGTGGGAGCAGTGCTGGAGGGCTCCAGCACCTTGTCTCAATCCGCACCGCTCCTGACGTCTTGCAAAGCAAACCCATCGCCACAAACAAGTACATACAGGAAGGAAAATTCACCCTCGCCCTTCCCAAAGTCCAGACCACTGTGCCGGTTAGGTAGGTGCCATGCCTGGGTATTGAAGGCAAGGTGGGAGCTAGAGATGGGGAAAAAAGGCAGGACAGAACTCTGCCAACCTCTGGATTTTGTAACCTGGGAGTGAATTTCTGAGCAGGCTGTGGTACAGAGCCAGGCATTTACTCATAACATGGGATCACACTGCTGGCTCTTTCTGAGCAAATATTTGTGTGCAATAAAATTAAGACAATTCTCTGACAGTTTGCCCTCACCCTGGTGGGTACACTCCAGATGCTACCAGCAAAAACACAGTTGAGGATCAGGAGGGACTTTCTCTGATGCTGTATAACATCCTTTAAATAAATAATGCCTAAAGCCTCAAGGAGATTAAAAAAGCGAGTTTGTGGAAGTCTTATTTGTTACTGTGGTATCCTTGTGCTGAAGTGCAATTTCCCCAGGGTTCTTGCTACAATCCGATTATATAAATGTCCTTCTCACAGCTCCTACACCACCCTCTGGAGCACAGTCTGTAGATCTTCATTAACCTAATGAGTGCTACCGGGAGTGTTGTCTTCTCTGGTGCAGCTGGAAAGCCGGCCTCTTCCTTATGGAGCCCAGGGCAGGGAAAGGAGCAGGTTGTCCTTGGAAGGCATATGGCACATGTTATTTGGTGATCTGCCAGAAAGATGACTTAGGGTCCAGTGCTTATGGTTTTTTTTCCTTCCCAGGTGGTACTACATCGTGGTTGTGCCAGCAGATCAGAGCACCAGCAGCCCAACTGCTCGGTGGCGGACACCTGATGAGATGGAGCTGGACCAGGTAGGAGTCTGTAGAGTTGCTGTGGTGGAAGTGGCTCCCAAGTAGCCCAGGACAATTTGCCCAAGCCTTCCGGCAGTAGCATGGGTACAAGAATGTAGGTGCAGGCTGTATATCAGAGATGGGGGGCTGTGGGATGGTGTAGTGCCCACTCAGCCTTTCTTGGCTAATGACAGCATATAGGAAGGAGGCAGGAGTCAAGCAAGGGAGAGACATCTCCCAGAATGTGCCCCATTAGGAGACCACACTTGAATGTCTCAGAGTTCTACCCAGGACAGATCCTGATTCAGGATGTACACTCTTTGCAGCCTTTTTAGCTGAAGCAACCATGCTGATTTTGAGAACAAGCTAGAATAGAAAGTTATTGTTTTCAGTTTATTAAGCAGTTCTGTCAGGAGGCTTTTCCCTCTCTGGATTGGACCTAAGCCTGCAGTCTGGATGAAGAGTTAACTCTAGTATCTAACAAAACCTGCAAAGCCCCCTTTACACTTGATTCTTAAAGGCTGTCAGCATTCACCAGCCCATTCACCCAAAGCAGCAGCTTATTCTGTGCAGCAGTCTGCCAACATTGGTAGATGTGGGTGTCAGGAGAGTCCCACACAAGGGGATTGTGGGCTCTTTCTTTCCCACCTGTAGCCCGTACCCCAAAGTAATACGGAAAAATTCCAAGAAATGACACAGTGAAGGGGCCATGCAGAAAACAAAGTTGCCAGCTTGAAGCACTCAGAAATTTCAAAGCATTAGAAGCTGTAAGTCAGCCCTTGCTTATCATTAATCTTTAATTACATGATTGCACAGTCTTTTCCATGGGGTCCCAGCTCACAGCATGTGTTGGGGGATCTTGTGTGATGGAGAACCATCATCTGTAGGCCTCCTGCATCATTTGTTGTAGAAGTTGGGAAACATCATAAGAAATAGAAGACTAGGATTAGAAAGGGTGGTTTGGTTGTGAGCTTTAGGTGGTTGAAAGCTATCACAAGAACTGGTTTCTATGTCTATGTCGCTTAGCCCTGGGCAAATGATTTAAAACAAAATTTTCATTAGCAGCCACTGTCTTGTATGTTCTAGTTTTTTGGAGTGCTCAGTTTGAGATCCTGGAGCCTCATTTGCAAAGCCTAAGCATCCCCAGCTGCAGAGAAAGTCAATAGGAGCCCCGCTGGATACAGTCAATGCTATAGAAAAAATGCTAAGTTTTCTTTGAAAAGAAAACAAGCCAATGTCTTTTCAGTTTGACATTCAAAATTAGTGGATGTTTTTTACATTAATGTCGCTGTGTCTCTATTCTCCATCTGTAAAATTAGGATAATCACTTTCATCTCACCTCATATGGGTGTTTGAAAGATAAGATCGTTAATGTTTGTGAAGCACTTGTAATATTCTAGTGATCAGCACCATAGAAAAGCCCATGAGGAAATTATTAGTTTTGTCTTCAGAGCTGGATTTGAATAGTAAGCAATAAACAATGCCTCGGGCTGCACAATTCAAAGAAGAAAACAAAATATGGAATAGCTGCTCTTTGATTAAGCACTGTCTGTCCTGTGTGTTTAACAAAGCTGGGGAGTTACAGGAAAGAGAGTGTGTGACCATGCAGTTAAGGATTGTAACACAGTGCACACACGTAAGGCTGAATTAATTTTGCACAGGCAATATTAATTTTCTAATTTAGCAGGATCTGAACTTTGCAAGTGTAGCATTCTTTTGATGCAGTCTTTTGGTGTGTGTTACATATGTAAGTGGCAGCAGCATCTAGCAACCTTAACCACAACTGGAGCTTATGGTTTCATGCACATATAGCTATGCTTTCTGCCCCAAAGAGCTCAGCTGTAATTTCAGCCAAGATACAAGAGATGTGTGTAGGGAGCAAACTCCACCATCCAAAGGCTATGTTTCTGCCTTTTCCCCCTGTGGTGACAAGGCTATTTGTGTAACAGAGTTCTTTATCCCCTTTTTCTTTTCCCTTTTTTCTCTTTCCTTCCTATTTTTTGGTGATACTGCAATAAGCTTTAGCTTTTCTAAATTGCTCCAACATGAGTATTCATAAGAAGGCAAAGATAGACTGTCAAGGGAAAGA